TCTTCATTGCGTTTCCACGCCCTTCAGTGGTGCGACCCTCGTTCCTTGCTCGTCTTGCATCCGCCTTCTAGACGCGTGGTGAAGGTTGAGGCGTTCCCCGATACGGTTTGAAGTAATCGCTTAATCGTTTGACGACCATTATAGGAGGGAACTTTTCCGTATCACGAGACCGCAGAACTTGGCCGACTCAACGAAATGACTCCGAGAATTACGACGAGGGAATCCGTTAGATCCCCTACTTGGAAGTAAATGCTCTGATCAAGCCGTCTCTCGAGCAGAATATCCATCGCCTCGGATCATCCAGTTTTACATATCGAGTGCGCTTCCTCCAACTCGCGAAAATTCGGAGACCTACGGCTGATATGTAGATAAGATCGATTGCTTCAGAAAAGTCTCACGAGAAACGCTTATCACTCGATCTGAATGACGCAACGCATTATTCGGCGTCGATTCCATGCTTCGACCGCGTTGCTCACTTCGGTCTCCTGAGGAGTTCTTATTCGTAGCGGCATTCAACCCTATTGTCGTAGCGAGAGGTCTTCGCCGTGACTTGACACGATCTTAGACTCGTCTCTGAGCGGAACGTCTTGACTCGACTTCACTCGTTGGGAAGACTTGAATGCGGTGCTGAACGCACGTCTGCCGGGCCGCCGATCGAAAGACGATCTGCGGCAGTCAGGCAGGCAGGCAGCGAGTCAGGCTAGCGATCGCCTCCCTATTCTGCTGTATGGCGCGACGTTTGAGAGGAAGCGAGTTTGTTCGCATAGAAAACAGGCACTACGGAGCCAGTACTTACTTTTTCGGGTCCTACCTTCTTCTCTTTCTCGCGTTGCCGTCTTCATCGTCGTCATCATGATGGCGATGATGATGAGTCAATGATCACCGGAATGTTTTCTTGCTCTTCTCTGTTTTTTTCCTGCTTTGACTCTTCTTTTATTTTGTTGGTTTCGCGGCCGCCCGTCCGAATATTCAGTCTGAGCTTCCGTAGCGAATCGGAGGTTTTTTCGGCCAGCAGAAAACTGGAGAAAATTGACTGACTTGGTGCTGCCGCCAGAGGAGGTGCGTAGAGCAAAGTTAGAGACTCGGGGCTAGGGGAGCCCAAGTATGAGGAAATTGAGTGCTAATCAAGAGCTCTGGTCTGTTTGGGGATAGATTAAATCGGAAGATTGCATCGACGATCTCCGACTGACTGGCGATGAAGAATCAGAACCGGAAAATCCTCGGGGAGGGAAGCTTACTAATTTATTGATTAAAGCGCGGAAAAAAAGAACCCCAAAAGGCGCTCAGAGCTGCGGAGGCCCGCGTGCTGTCCGAACAGCGATCGGTTAGGATTTCGAACCCCCAACGAGTCGAGGAGATCCTATGGAGAGTGGGAAGAGACGGAAACGTTGATGACGAGTTACTCGAATCGAGATTTCGAAACCGACCGAAGCAAAACCTCAAGCGTGAGGAGGCGCGATGGCGATGCATAAAATGTCGAATGTGATCCATTGCCATTATTCAGAATCGTTTCTCTGTTGTTTGTTATGCCGATTCGTTGCCTGTTGCCATAGAAGTATTATTGACGTTCTCGAAATGTGCCTTTTTCGCTGCTCGTGGAGCTCTCCGAGCCACCAGTGAATCGAAATGTTCGATCCGCGTCCCCCTCTTCCTACCCCCACGGCCAACTCCGCTCCTTCCATCAACAGACGGTCTCTCTGTTACCAGGAGTTCCTCTTAGCAACCGGTCGACAACCAAGCGTGTATGAAGCGGAGAAGAAATCAACAAGCTGACTCTGAATGATGTTCTACAGAGTGAATCCTCCGATCATTTTGACATTCGAATTCTCGAATCGATGCGTCGACTCGCCAGCCCGGTGCATGATGTAGTCTCTGCTGAGGGTCGGGTTTTTCCTCGCGTGCGCTTACTTTTTCTACTTCGTGGCAGTATAAAAAGCATCCATGACTCGCTAGTTTGAATGGTTCGCAGTTTGGAATCGATCAAGTCATCAATGGTCCCATGAGGCGACGGCCGCCGCGTGTTCGGCATCGGCAGGATCGATCCAGCGATCGATCACCTGGGCTTTGCGAACGAACAAACAGAAACGAATAGTTTTAAGTGCGGTAATGACATCAGTCAAGTAATTCATTCTATGGGACACTACTTGTGTCGACGCTCCGGATCCAAGTCGACTCGGGACCCGCGTGTAGAAGAGCGCTCCTCCCTCGCGAGTCATAATCCAGGGAGAATCGCGAGGACCTATGGAATGAAGGGAGCAAGTATCGTAAGGAAGGATATCGCACACCCCAGCTTAATCGAACAGAGAATTCCCCTTATTGGGGAGGTTGGTGGAGCTCGAGGGGAATTCCCTGGACGCGCAAGAAGGCTCCATGGATGGAAAAATCCCATTTGAGAGGACTTGAGTACGAGCATTCGGATCTCCACACGCTCGGGGTCCAACGATTGAAAACATTGGATTTCGAAACAGCTTTTCCGGCAGCAGACGGTGTTGTCCTGACGGTAGGGAATCGATTAGACGATGAGAACGATCTCCAAGACGATATTACCCTCCATCGTAAAGTCGCTCCGAATGCGTGTGAACGTGCGTGCGTGAGTGAGTGACTTGGCCGGCTGGCTGGCTGGCTGGCTGGATGGATAAGCGACTCTGGCCGCAGGACCGGCAAGCTGACCGGAGGGTTGGCCGAGCGCTGGTTCGTCAGTTCGGTCGTCTGAGTGTCGGTCTGTCGCTCGCTCTTATCGACCCACGTCGTGGTCTCCATGGCGCCCTAGGATTCTCGTACAGTTGGTATGGCAACGCCAGATCGATCGAGCACGACATAGCAGACACTAAATGACCCACGCTTGCTCCCTGGCTGCCGTTCGTGGCTGACTAGCTTACGTTCTACGGGGCCGTTTACCTGGCTTTCATTTTACGTATATGCCAGCTTAGCAGGCGAATGGATCGGCTAGCTGGTTGCTACGTTAGATAGATATGTCAGCGCACCTTGTCGGACCCTTGCCGCCGGGCTCGTTGTAGGATTGTCCATGAATGAAAGAAGAGAGAGCCATTCAGCCAAACGTAACGAATGCACAGCATCTCCGTCTTTGAGCTCAAAAGATGGCTAAGAATGGCACGGAGAGTTAACTAACTAACTAACCAACCAACCAGCCAGCCAGCCAGCCACCTAGCCAGCCAGTCAACCAACCCGCCAACCCACAGCCCCGTAGTTAAACAAAAGAAGGCTGCAGGCGGGCAGACAGGAGCGTTGTCGAGGGGGACGCCAGCAGAGCCCGAATTACGGGGTAGCAGACCAGGGTCTGATTGGAGGGGCGGAGGGTACCTGGGTTGGCGGCGAGCAGCAGACGACGGACTCCACTTCGGATACAGAGAGACCTTGGCAAGCGTCTGAAACAACACAGAGACGAATTCCAATCAAGCGAAAGCGGTCGTGGAAAACTCCCGTCGTTTCTGTTCATCGAATCGCACAATTTCTGCTTGGGTCTCCCTCCGGAATTGATTACATGCTCGTGCAGTCTAAGAGACCCCTGTGCCCACCGAGCGTGACTCTTCTGATTTATATTATTCCTCGGAATGAGCTGTACCCGCGAATATTGGGAAGCATCAGGATGAATGAGGCGTTGCGCGGACGGTCGAGTGACAATGATCGGTGGGGAAAAAATTCGTTGACGAAGAGATGATTCCTAGCAGACATACTCTAGCCGGCAGCACACTCACCCATTCCGCTCCCAGACCGTATTCCGATGGGGCGGTCCCATCGAGACTCAGTTGTCGTACATTGACTGCAGCTGGAACGAGCGAAGCCTGACGGCCGCTCGGCCCGGCCGCAGTGCATAGCTAAAACTCAACAACTAGCTTTTACATAACGATTGCCTCACAACGGTTCATAGATACTTATCGGCCAACTATTGTATCATATGACGAGTTGAGCGGACGGCCAGCGTCTGCTCGACCGGTCTCCCTGCCGCTTCGGAATCCGCGCAGATGTTTCCCCCTGGCTGTTGTCCGCTCACCGACGTGGGTGTTCAACAACTACTCGTGAACGCATTCAATGAAACCAGTCAGTGGATCATCGTGGCTCGGATTCGATATGAATTCAATCCGGAGGTCTAGGATCCGCTCATTCGGAGAGGAAAACATGCATAGGACGAGAGGAAAAGCTCCGTAATGAAATCTTGATACACATCGTGGCGGCAGCGGTGGTCGAATGAAAATAGGAGTCAGGTCGTTCGAGACAGCGGTACAATAGCGTGTCATCTTTGGTCACGAACACTCCTCCGAGCCACACCTACGACTAAAAGCTGGTACATGACTGAAAATCACTCCGGGATCAGGGTTTTATAGCGTTCGAGTGTCCGAAAGGGAAGAGATCCAACTATCTCAAATTCGAAGTCAGCAGTTTGGTTCCGGGATAATTTCGAGGACCATAGGCTGTCAGGCTCTCTCCCGACATTTCACGATCCGAAAATCAGACGCGGTGTGTAGAGGGAATTGATTTCTAGGCTCTCGGGACGGGACGATGCAGTGACTCGTTGAATTAATTCTCGAGCCGGTCTTACTACGGATGTGTTGAAAGTGATCTCGCGGCGTCAGAAAGCCTCGCAGCAACGCAAGACTGAGGGTGGAAGGACGCAAAGCAGTAGACCGAACTTTGGTCGTCGACTTGTATCGTCGTGGTCGCACTTGTATCGTACATAATGCATTGGGAGAGAGTCCATATTTATGTTGTTTACACCGGCATCGCTCCAAATTGCGGACCCCGCCTGTAGCGTTTTCTGTTGATCATGATCAGGCACGGAGATGAGAGGGACACCAGCGATTAGGTATTTTGTATTCAACGGGTGATCCGCCGAGTTTGGCCGAAGTGATCACGAGTTCTCAGGCTACAGTGGGGTGGGATGCGCTACCTAACTAAAGGTTTTAGGCTCGACTTCAAAGGGAATGATTTTCGAGAATCAGCGTCATTTTCTCTAGCATTCGGAGCCTCTTTCTTCCTTCCAGGTCCGTACCCTGTTCGTATCTGGACTCCCGATGGATGCGAAACCGCGTGAACTATACCTCTTATTCCGAGCGTACAAAGGATACGAGGGATCTCTCTTGAAAGTCACCTCTAAAAACGGAAAAACCTCTTCGGTTAGTATCGGGGAGATCCGACCCCGCGGATCCCGATTTTAATGGGGAGACCCCACCCTTCCGGAAGCCATAAATTCCCCAGAGACTCTCTCTGGAGCATCCGTCTCACCCCTCAATGAGCGCGATCATGGACATCTCGAAACCCGCCGAGGGAGATTTGAGTCCAGATATTTTCGGACTCTCATTTTATTGAATTGATCTATTCCGCACGCTAAACTCCTTCTCTCTTACAGCCTGTTGGATTCGTTACATTTTCGACCAGGGCTGGTGCCGAAGCTGCTAAACAAGAACTGCAGGTAAATTGAATTTCGGAAACCGGAATTCCGACACGCGACGCTTAATCCTCTCAGAGCATCGGCTCACGTAGAATAATCAGGATCTACTCGAAAGACCCTAAATTGAACGCCACATGAGAATCTACGATCGGCGGTCGAAGGACAAGTAATCCCAATGCAATCTCTGGTTCGGGCGCTCCAGCGACGGAAGAACGTTCTTCGATAGTGTCCAGCACCTGAGCTGGTCCATCTCTCCCGGAAATCGTTGATCTGATAGTAGAACCGCAAAACTTTCTACATGAACTCATACGTCGCAGAGCTCCCATTTCCGTAGCTTCAGTCGAATGCAATGAATCGAGCCACGAGAATTGTATGTTGCGATTACAATTGGCTCGAGCTGAGCTTGAGGCGATCGTATCCTCTCTTCCCCTATCTGACGGTTTCGATTCGGTGTCGGCTCTCCGATGACCGACTGCTTGTGACTTTGCGCTTCCTCTCTTGCGTACCTGTCTTCGATTCCGCGCTCTCGAATGGTTCGTTCATCGATGGAGAAGAGCAGACGTACAGCCGCTGCAGAACTAACACGACTCTTTTCATGCCGTCCCGCAGCAAGGCGTGCGCTTCGATCCCGACCTGCCGCAGACTATTCGTCTTGAATTCGCAAAATCAAACACAAAAGTGTCGAAACCCAAACAAAGCAACCAGGGCGCTGTAGGCCTGCAACAAGTTTCGGCCGGAGCCGCTCATCCAGCGACTCTACTGCACCCTCTCACAGGCCGTGAGTACTTCGAGCCATTCATGAATTCTTCAGTTTACAGTGTTCCTCTGTACTATCCTATGCTATGAGGAAACAGTTGAGGTCGACCACGTTTCCAATTGACTCCCGTACTCCATCGTACCTGGCTGACTCGATCGTCGTCAAGAGGCCTAAGATTCGCACACGATGCCTCCCCCTATCATCTTCCCAGGATCGCTTTCCCTGGTTCTGTCGACGCCGACGTCGCTCATACGTATTCCCTCGCGCTATTCAACTACGTATGATGCGAGTGCGCAATTGGTTGTCAGTCTGAACCTCTGTGATGCACGAGGAATCATGGATCTCATGGAGTTGATTTTCCCCGTGCCTGTAAATCCAGTTATACATATAGAAAAATCCCCGATACCTCTCGTTTGAAGAGGAGGGGGACGGACGAAACCCGAAGAAATCTCATGCATATTGAAAGCAATAACGATGATCGTGGAAAAAAATATATACCCGATACGAAGAAACGCGAAGTGACCACGGATCTAGGAGGATCGATCCGATCCTCGGAATTGTACCATACTCTACTCAGCCGCTGATTACCCCTGCAATTGACGGTGTGACGTCAGGGATAGATACTCGTTTTCTTCCGATAGAACAAAGCTTGATGACTCCTAAGTCAATCATAAAATCGATATCTTTTAATGCTCTAGTCATGCGCGGTACTCCGAGACCCTCTCATGGGTTTTCGGTTTCCCGTCTCTGCGCGGAGTAGGATACACAACGGACGCGAACGAAAGAGGGTCAGATCTCAAAAATATCGTAGACATATCGCAGAAATTCTCATTGGGTTGTGCCCAGGTACTATGTAGTTTTCTTAACGTATCCCGGTAGTATAGCATTTTCCGATGGTTCATGCTCGCATCGCGAATCGCGAAGCGACGAAATCGAGCGGAATCGTACAAAATGATGACGCTCTGTTGACTCAAAGTACTCTGATTATACTGGGCGTACTTCAAGTCACAGACAGGACCTGAAATGATTTGAGAAGCGCGGGTCCAACGGAGATACGGCGATCGCTTTCGGAGTGGGACGATAGTCAACGAAATGACGGGTCTTTTCTCTCAAACGATCAAGCTTCCTGTCTCCAGGGCGAACCGATCCGCTCAGATTTTTGTTGACATGAACTCGGAGTGAAGCAGCTTGAAGCAGATTTATACAATGACTGACTTCTGACCAATGATGTGATGTAGCTTTAATGGCGGAATGCCACATCTAAGCAAGGAAGCGCCTGGCTCGTGAATGGCGATGTCTTTCAACTGCTTAAATACTCCCGATTCTTGCGATTCCCGGCTCCGGCTGCGGATTTTTCCCGATCAAGAGTTCCAATCTGAACGAAGGTCCCATCCGCCATCCGGCTAAATAGAAAGGAAAATACATTTCGCGGTCAACAAGTTGTACTCTGAGCTCCTGATGTTGTTCAAGCTCCCGTTCTGATCTGGGTCTTTCACTTTGGCGCGATGAGCGCGGATATCTCTACTCTCTACAGAATTGAGACTCTAGAAAAAAAATCGAAACGGGGATACGCTCACTCGGATAAGGGTGCCGGGAAGTCATGGCTCCCTCGCGACTCCTCGGCATTGACCGCACAGTTGTTCTCCGATCGGAATCCGACCGTGGCCCATAATGTGAATTGGGGGCCTGGCATACAGTGAAACTACCGAAGAGAACTCGGACTCGACTACGTAGGTTACTAAGTCAAAGGGTCCTTCACGTACAACGGCGTCCGATTTCAATATTTCCAAATCGAGAAGCTTGAATTCCGATTGAGAGAGTCAATTTCGTGAAGAACAAAATAGTCTATCGCTGTCGTCGTCAACGTTGCCAACTCCACGATCAACACGCCATCTCAGAAGTTATGAATGACACCGACGATCCAGAGACCTCAAGCTCGAAGCCCGGATGAGTGACTGGGACGTCGGTCGACCAACCGACCGCACGACCGACCCACTAAGAGCTTGGTAACGAGACACGTTGCCGAAACAATGCCGAAGACCACGGAAGTCCTATCACGGCCAAGGTACTTTACCCTCGATGATGGAATTCATTACTAAAATATGGCGATGCGCTGAGATTTTCTTCGTTGGCCTCCGTGATGATCTTGATGATGTCAGGATCTCCAAGCCGGTGTACCACATCTTCGACACTTCACGCTGAAACCCACTGGGCACGAATTTTTCGCAAGGTCTCCCCTTCGACCGGACCGTTCTCGCTGAAAACGCAAGCCGATATCTCTGGCACCCCGAACACGGCTCACCCCGGCTCACAACCCCGGCACCTTAAAATCTATTTTTATTCTCCTTGATTAGAATTTCCTTTCTGTCCGATTTTCATGCCCATACTCGGAACGCACCGATTCAGGTAGCTCCATCCGACTCGATCTTCGACACCACCCTGCACAATCTTCTTGAATATATCCCAATATGAACTTGTTTTCCATCTTATCATTCAGACTTCTCGCACCACTCCGATCCCCACAATTTTCTTTTGGCCTTGTTATCAACACTTTCCGCTCCAATCGGCCCCGACCCTGACCGGTTCCCAAATTGACCGGCCACAGTCGGCTCTCCACCTACTAAGCATCCAGCCAATCAGCCAGCCAGCCCGAAGTCGACCAGTTCTGAGAGAGGATCAACCGATCTTCCCGCAAAACCTCTGGATCTGTGACGAGCGGAGCATACCGATGAAACGTCCGCGAGTACCTATCACACGATTTCCAAATCCATTCACCCTTCACCGAAGCACATTCCACTCCGCACCTCCACTTGGTACTCGGCGAGACGAAATTGAAGCCCCGGATAGTTCACGACGTCGCAGGCGCACGAAGTGTCCGATCAGGACTCCGGAATCGAGTCTTCGGGCGACGACTACGTCCGCGGTTCTCTTCAGAATAGTGTCTGCAGATCGTTCTTTGAGCGCGGCTGCGACGGCTTTCCTCTCCTGCGACTGCGACAATGCTCCTCCGCAAGCTGCTGGTCGCGGCGGAAGCCTCTGAGCTTGAACTCCGTCTTGCTTCTCGTGCCGATGAAATTACGCAATTTCTGCTCATCTTCGGAACAGTCATCGACGGCGGCCGATGAGGAATATCGTCAAGCTCACCAGGCGCGTGGCGGATCGGAACGATGTTGGCGAAGCGCTGATCCTTCCTCTCTACTCACCCTCCTGTACCTACTCACGAATGTCTGCTTCCAACGGAATTCCGAAGCAGGTTCCCGTCCAGGCGTCATACGCGGCTGAACGCTTTCGATGTCTTCCATTCACGCAGGCCCCACCACATAGTATAGAGCCGTCTACGTTGACACCTACGTATATCTACCTAACGTTCAACATCTCCGGCTAGTATGTAGAACAGCATCAGTGATCTAGAGTTCGGAATGAGCTCAGATTCTTGTTCTTCTGTCTGTCGGTGTTTTCGCCTCCCGTAGCTATCGACGCGGGACAAGCCTGTCGCGAAAATCGGGAGAAAGAGCTGGCCGAAAGAAACAGAAATTATTATTCCGTGTCGTCGGCTCGGCTGAATTTCTTCGGGATCGATCCCCACTCTCATTTTCCTCTGAATGGCGTCTAAATCCTAGACGTCTTGCTGTTACTGGTGTCGATGTTCGGGATACGGGTCTGAGCTTTCCGAGATTTCAGTCGCGGTGAATTCTCTACCACAAGCCTTCTAGATACGTGCTGGATACGTGCGTGTCCGTCACTAATTGCAGTGGTCTCCTTACGCACTACACCCCAAGGCACCCATCAGCCGCTTCGAACAAATGACATTCCCCCTCAAGACTGGCTTACATTAGTTTATTAGTCATTCTAATACTATGGCCTCAGCGAAGGATGAAGAAGAAAATTCGTGTTCACGCTTGAGACTTCTATAGGAAGAGTCGAACTTAATCGCGCGTAAATTCGGAGAGCTAGAAAACTTTCGCTTAGAAGAGGGACCTTGATAGACGGATCCACGGAATCCGAACTGAGGCCCGAATTCAACTTCGTAGATTCTACTTGATATCCCACGAAAAAATACTCCAACTTTTGAGCGTGGTGGATATTCCTTTTTTTTTATGACACCGTCGTTTAGACACACGAGTGGCTGCTTCCCTCCAAGACGTGGCGGTCAGCTGGTCGGATCACTTATAGGATTTCAGCATTTCCGTGTGCTGAACCCAGATTCAGACCCGGTCAAGGATGTCATTGGAGAAATAATTATCACTCGAATACCACGAGGATGATGGAGAAGAGATTATAATCCGTCGCACAAACACTCGAGAAAGTTCACACAAAAAATCCGCAAGTCTCCAACTGCGAGAGCGCAGAGCCGTTGGAGAACCAGCTGACCGGGCACCTGCACAAAAACTCCTAGCACCTGTTTTTCTTTTTTTCCTACCACCCGTCACCGGTGGGTTTTGTTGTTGCTATTGTTAATGATTATGAAGATGTTCATGCTATTGTTGTTGTTGTCGATGCTCATGTCGTTGTTGTCTCGCACGCAAGGGAAAATACTTTAGATTTTTTGTGCGATTCCCCATCAAAAACCCCCTCAAAGAAGAAACCACATTGAATCCTTTGCACCGCTACAATCATTCGCAGCTTTCCTTACGAAGCGCTTTTCAGAAATTGGAGCTGCACTGTTACCATCTGAGTGGCCACACCCGTTATCGTACGCTGAGGTCCCGATCACTTCGGGCCTGCACTCCGCGGCTCTTATGCATCCGGCTCTTCATGCCCAGCTGCCGGTGAGTACATGAAGGCTACAAGGCTCTCGGATATCATGATTCCGTTCCTTCCTTCACTCGCTTTCGTCTGTCATCTTGAGTTATTTCAACGCTCTCGGAACAAGTCTCCTTGCTCGGTCGAAAAGAGGGATTCTTGACGGTTCATGAAGAAACAACGTAGATCTCCCGGCAAGCGAGTCCGTTTTTCTCGCTCCCATGATCTTCCTGTACCGTGTGTCCCCGGGTCTCGGGGATATCTGGGAGCTCGAAAATCTCATCGGGAAACGGAAGGACTCGCTGTAAATTCTGTCAAGATCTTCCCAATCGCCTCCCAAGTGACGGCCGCACGTTTTTATTAGGAACCACCTAGCTTCCCATACGTGTGTCGGCATGGCTGAGAAATTTTCGCATCCGCATACCTTCTCAGAGCTGCTTTATTGTTCCAAGCGAAGGGGACAAGCTTCGATCCTTCCCGTCTGTCCGTTTCTCTCGTGGTCACTTCAGCTCGGTCACTCGGAGATTCATAAAGAAAGAATTCGATGTTCCTGATCGTTTCGGAAACGATTCCTAGCCTCGAAGTATAGGACCAATCCTTTAAATGACTTTGGGGAGAAACCCTCGACATGCCCCAGAGCAGCCTGTCGTCGGGAGCTCTAGGACCGAGAGAGAGAGAGACTTGGAGAGAATGTGAATGATGCGAATTCTGACCATGGAAAGCTTTCACCTCCGCACGTATTGCTGGCCGCCAACATGCTATATTGTCTTGTTTCAGCCGCACCATTTCTACTACCCGGCTAGCACGGCCCAGGCGAGTACTCAGCCGACTGCTTCTGTTTCACAGGCTCAGGCTACGAGCACCGCGACTAATCTCAGCTCCATGTCCGCCAATCCCGGTAACAACTTCTGGCCAGGACAGCCCGATTCGAGCAAGATCAACTCTGGTGAGCAGTACTCCCATTCACTCTACGCTCGATGGATCCTGTTCAGACCGTCGCTCACGATGGTGGCGATGATTTCCGAGCCGTGCAATGATGAGTCGTGCGTTGGTATTTCCCGCCAACAGCGCTCCCGTGTCACGAACTACTGCTTTCCGAGGCTTGATTCGTAACTGAGGTCGACTGCATCTCTTCAATCGTATTGTCCCTGAGTTTCTCGGTCAGAACGCGGTGGTTCCGATCTATTTTCCTATACGAGGGTCTATGCTGTAGTTGAAAGGCTCACACGGAGCACCACCGGGACGAGCCATCCTGATGCTGGAGGAGCCAGAGAACAAGAGTCTGTCTTGCTTCGTCAAAAGCTCTCGTATTTCGACACGTTATCGGAGCTCCGCTGGCGAAGTCCCGAGAAAATTGTCCTCCGTACCGTTTTCATCAAGGGTCGGGAACACATCCGTTCACCACCCGCTTCTTCCGCGCGACTCCTCGAGCGCTAATCCTGTAAATCGTAGGATCGTAGGATCGGAGTACGCTTCTGGGCTGCGACTCCCGAAACTCCCTGTGAACCGCCGCTCTGGATCTGTCGGCGACCGAAGCTGGGCTGATAAGATAGAGTGTATTCGGCCGTCATCCATCGAAGTCTCGAAGACCGTCCTCTGTCAAATGACGAATGCAAAGTCCAATCTTAGGCTAAGCTGGCGAGGAGAGATCCGAGTCGGATGAGAGGGCGCAAGGAAAGGACGTTCGTCGCGGAAGATGGTTCAATGAGGCCGAATTTGGAAATACAGCAGGGAACTCAAGTGATCGGCGAGCCTCTGTTCGGAAAGTTCCCCGCATCCTTACAAGGACAGAAACACATTCACTCGGGACAATATTCTTTCCGCTAAGCTTGCAACTGCGGCTCAAACCGAGCTCGGTCAATCGGATCCCTTCATTTCCATAATCACACGACTTGTCGAGTCTACCCCGGAGTGTGAGGGTTTTGCTACGAGTTAATCGGTCGGCGCGTGCGGACTATTCGGAAACAATGGACCGATAAATGCTTCCGCTGGCTAACGTAAGTGTTTTGTCTCCACAGCATCCAGTCAACAACAGGCTGCACTACTAGCCGCTGCCGCTATGGAAAACTATCAGGCTCAGCTTGTGCGATTCGCTTGCCTCCAGGCTCAGGTGTGTAGATAAACCCTTCGATCCCGCGGATAGTCTCGCAGGGCGAGCTACCGTTCGACAGATCGCCAGAGGGTTCCGTCCACTGGGAGGGTCCGCGAGAGTGATTCTCCTCGATCGCTATGGATTCTCCTTGTGGTCCGGGCAGTTAAACTAAGAGCTATTTTTTCAAGCAGGCAGCCGCAGGATCCAACCCTGGTGTAACCTCTCTCTCGCCGAACATAACTTCGCTGTCCGGTGTGCAACAAGACGATGTCCCGAATAGATTCGTTAGGTAATCGCCTGCACAAACGAACGTTGTATCTGCGACCTATAGCCGCTAGCTGCTACTTCTACGAACCGCGTGAGCGTGTTTGTCCAGTACAACGTGCCCTGTTTGACGGGCCAAGTACCCAACTGAATTCACTGGCTCCGAGCTTTTCACTGAAGAATTCATCTGGCTCCTGAAAGTACGCTGAGTAGTCCTCATTCTCCTCTCTCAATCAAATTCTTCTTTAGAGCAACTCTCTAGGACTCTGGGAAACTCAGCCCGTTGGATTCGAATTCCTCGCTTCTCTTTCGTATCAGCTTCGAGCTAACGAGTTAAGAATCGATCGTACCTATACTCGCGACGTTTAGCCGTCCCTGGGCTTCTCGCTGCTTTTTCTTCGGAGACGATGTCTCTTATTCCGAATTCAATGAATTTCCGAACCCAGTGGTTAGAGTCAGATGGAATCCTTGGTGAATTGTAGGCACCTCGAGCATTATCGGACTTGAGCATTTCGGTGGCAGAGACGGTCTGGGGTAGACATCGATACTGAGCGAAAAAATATCAGAGCATTCTTTCGAACCGAGTCGAGACGCAGTTGGAAGGTGTCAATCGCGTCTCGAAGGGTGAGAGGCCGCCGGGTGATTGCCGGCGATTCGTAATCAGCCTAACAAGAAGGCTACTCGTCATCGGAGCTGTGAATGTAAATCCTGCGTTGCGGCGAAGACCATTATTATCTTAGCTCTATTGTGGTGTTGAACAAGAGGGAGACCAATCAAACAAACAATCAATCAATCAATCAATCAGTATTTGATACAATCAAGCGCGATATATCTGAGCCTTACTCTCAGTGGTTCAAGAGTCAAGACGCGAGCCTCCAAACGCTAGCAACATATAAATCGCGTTAAATCTCTGACAGTAAGGCAGGCGAGTGAGCGAATGGGCGGACGATTAGGAAAGAGTGGCAAGCGGTCGGTTTGCTCGATTTCGAGTCGGCAAGCTCGTTGTTCCGCGGTCATTCGTCGAATGGATTCCGCGTCGACTCGTCGAGCATCACCACCGCGCCGCCGTCGCGAGTTTTGGACCAATGGATGCGAACGACGACAGAAGTTGAATTTGCTGTTGTGTTCCATTTCTATGAAGCATAAGCGTCGTTTTACTGAATCGACATCCGATGCACCTGTGGGAGCAGCATCATACGCTCGCTCGGACTTTCCTCCGGAGCATTATCAAATGCGAACAGATAGCATCGACGCGGACCTCCCGAAGGCGCTGTCTGACTGACTGGGTGGGGGTGGATTATTTCCCCGAATCCCGCGAGCGGATGCTCCTCATCAAAACGACCTGACGGATGTCGACCTTTCAAGCTAACTATTCATTTATCGATCGTCTAAATCGTAATGACCTACTCTCAAGCTACTGACCAATTCACGGATGAGAACCCACAACGCCTGCGGGCGCCGAGCTGCGTCGCGTGATGCAACGCGTCGACGTGATTATACAGTATACCTTATATGAACGGCTCATCGAACGAGATGATCTGGACAGTGTGTCGTACAGTTGACATGCATACATGGACATATACATGCATACGAACATTTACGAAACACACATTCTGTCATCATATATATAAATATGTATGTACATTCAACCAATGCTCGGTGCCCATGCAGGTTGCGTTGCATTAGTAGCGGTGATAGCATCTCTAGGGAGAAAACCGCGGCTGGTTGTATGGACGGAAATTCATCGACATGTCTCATCGATACCTAAATCATTCTTGTTGGCAATAACCTAGAGAAAGAACTTTGAAACTCATTAATTTCGGGGAAGACCTCTTCGGCCGGGAGGCCGTGTACAATTTGTGCGTTCCTTTCTGCCGCACTCTACCAAAACCTCTCTGGAATACGATTCGGACAGCGAGTTTTCACTCCTCCGAAAGAACCCGCTTCAATGGATCACAAGCGCGACTTGGAAAGATGAAAGTCTGGACTACCGCAGCCTCTGAGAGCCGGGACTTTAAATCTCTATTGAAGAGGTCTCCGCATTGATTTCCCGATTTTCGCTCGCTGTCACCTGTAGATAAATTAATACGAGTTGGGATCTCATCATCATTGACCATATTCCTCTGAATAATATCACTGTACCTATGTGGCATTATCAGCGAACCTACAATTACTGATGATGGGCGAGACCACGTTCATTACCATGAATGGGAGTTATTCGACGCAATAATTCTCGGACTTCACTTTCAAAGGTTCGGTGATGGCCGATCTACATGTTGATATCTGTGGACCAAACAGCCCTTGATTAGAGAGCGTCCCGCGCCTCCCGAGCGGCCCGCAAGCCTGAAAACCCTTTGCGATCATTGGTGGCGAACTCACGTACATATCCTCTGGTTGGCAGCGAAAAGGGTAAATGAATTTGTAACGACGTAGACTGAAGAGCTCGAGTTTCGATGACGATGATGATAGCTACAGTGCGAGTCGAAGATCTCTCGGGTTGAGGCCCGCAGTACCGGTGGCGTGTTCGTCCGCAGCTGGCGCGGTTACCCATGTCGTTTGGGCGACCTTTGATGCAAGCCTTTGATGCAAGAATCTATGGCCCGTTCAGAATATCGCCGACTCTGTGATATGATTTTAAACCACGGGATTATTAGCCGGAGCATAGTGGTCGAAAATGGCCGGAGATAACGTCGGAGATATGACTGTGTTTGTCAACTGCTCCGTCAACTCTCTTTGATAAATAATCGGTGACTCATCAGCTTGAAACAGATCTCCCGACCGATCTACACCAGCGACATTATCGACGACAGTATTTGATATCATTTTACCTTCATCCTGATGATGATGATTCTAGCAGCAACCCTCGTATCAGAGAGTCTGTTCCTTTTTCCATTCATCATTCCGATTATTACGATTGATACGATTATTTATTACGATAACCAGTATTTAAAAAACACAATTATTTATTGTATCATATCAATCCGGCCGGTATTCGTGATCGCCGGCGACTAATGATTGAAACCAACGTTTGCTTTACACAAAGAAGACGTCGTTGAGCGGGGTCGTTTCAGACCCAGCGCTGCCCGTTTCAGATATAATCATATGGAAATATATTAAGGACCAGTAAGCAGATCGGCAAGTCAGTATTGACTCAGAGCAATGAGCAGCGTGACGAGAACCGAGGAACGAGAAGAAAACGTGAAATTAGGAAATCAAGTAGAAACCGTCTGACTTCCCGTGCTCAAATAATATTCACTGATTACGGGCTCTCGGAGCTGTTGAGTATAACATATACTGAGTGCACTTAAGTCCCGAGAACTCCAGGACAGGCTTCTCAACATTCCATCGGCGTGTTCTTCGTATGCCCCGTGCGTAAAAACGGATCTGAAACGCTGATATGATACATTCCGATTTCCTCTGTATTCGACTGTAAGTCAGCCCGGGAGCCCAATTCTCTTCCCTCCGATTTCTATCAGCCCTGTGCCCTCATTCGGGCGAAGTCGGAGGCTAACAGCACGACCATCCAAGAGGTAATCCTTGTGCACGATCTTAGCTCAGACCATGAGAACTCGTGGCGATGCACTTCGAACATGACGGAGTTTGTCTTCTCTTTGTCCTTCCCGGTCCCATCATGCTGTCATTGCAATCCTGATGGAGACATTGTTTGAACGCCGGAGCTCGAAAAGCGGCCTTCTTTACGTGGTTCACGGTCAACGTGCGGTGTGTATGTGCTTAGCCATCCACTGATTGACCTTGCAGGAACGTCAGCCCGTCGGCACGCTGGCACTCGACGTGCAATCGAGCTACGGCGATTTTTGTAGATTGACATATACGGTAGAAAAACGTCGAGCGATTGATCGACCGATGGAGCGATCCATTGAGCCGTTGATTGATCGATTGATCGAACGATACTTGGAAGGACCGACGGACATGTTGTAGTAACGTATGTACAAAGCGAAAACTGCAGCGGGATCTCTGAACTCGTTAGATAGAACGTCTTCACCAAGAACAACGGCAGCAGCACCACTGGTTTAAAGCAGCCAACGACTTCATCACGGCGACATTCTAAGAATTTCATTCGGCGGTAGAACGAGCACGAGGCCTCGTAGAGCTTGTATGATGCCTGCTCGAAAAATGAGACGGCGACGGGCGGCGTGACATCGCCGCCGGCTTGGGCCGACATCCATTCTCGTCGAAATGTGTCCTCGAGACATAAACGACATTAGAGCACGATAAAAAGTTCAAACTCCGACGAGAGGAACGCAGATCAAGGGAACGAAAAAAAAATCATTCGCGACTTCAATCCGCTAGAACAAATCCGCGCGAAATTTAAGGTGCTGAAGGCGTCAACGTTAACGGCGGCAGAGATTTCTTATAGCGCACACAGACGACATACAACCGAAAAAACGATGATCATCATGATGATGGAGTTAAGGAGAAATCAGGCAAGCGACCGATAACTCTGGAATGATGCGAGAAATAGAATACGGGAGTAATAGAAACGCGACCAACGTTAACTGGTTCAATGGTTCAAGAAAGGCTCTAGGGCGGACTTGAAACTCTGACACTCTGAGCGCACGGGCGAGATCAGCAGGTGACCGGTCATGAGATCTAAACCAACGCAACGTCATTCAATGAAAAACTTTGAATTACCTCTTCTTTTATCAGAACTCTCTCATAGGGGGTTGGCTCCTCCCAAGCTCTTCGCGAGTTCTCCGCAGCGGGGGAATCGCGGATCTCGATTCTGCTCATATCACGGCGGGGTATTGGAAGTCTACCCGAATATATTCTTTCTCCAATCCCGTATCTAGAGCTTCTTTCCATGAATCCGACTTTGGTAAAGATTTCTTGGAAACGAATTCGCTAGCGAGAGGGATTATTCATTTATCCTAACTTGTGAACGGGACCGATGCGTGTGTGACTGCAAGGATGCGCGTCCGTGCGTGCCTGTGCGCGTGGATAAGTATACGCGGGTGAATCACAGATTCGCCCCAGGAACCCAGCAAGAATAGCCCGTAGTTTGGAAAAT